TAAAGAAATTTGCTCGATCATATAAATATATATATATATATATATATATATATATATATACATCAAACAGTTAAAAGAAATGAAGGCAAATATGAGAATGGATACGGATATATAATGAGACCAGGGAAAGTGCATGCAAGCCTTAGAAAAAATATATATATTTAGGGGGCAATAAATAACGATATATATGTTTATCAGATAAATATACTTTTAAAAATGGATAAGAGATAAATGAATACAAGTAGAAATCAAGAATGAATACGAATTCAAAAAGTTTATCAGATGATACCGCGGATATGCACCATACATACTTGATGAAATATTTTGCCAACAAAAGAGCTAAGAAAAAAAATAACAGAAACGTTTTAATCAACATCCCAAGCCAGCATTATTGTGAAGGCTTTAGTTTCGTATGAAAGTGTCTGATGAAGAGATTCGTAGGTCTATCTCAACAGAAGAATGCTGATTTCCGTTGCTCTGTAGTCGTTTGACTTAATGAGACCAGATAGTGATCTAGAAACAAAATTTTCTGATTATAATATGTTTATTGCTAGACGCAAGATAAAGGAGGCTATTGAAATTAACATATTGGGGAATAGTTTAAATTTAAGACACGTATGAAGAAAGGAAGTTAAGAACGACTCATGGTTGATTGATGTGCTCGGAGGGGAAATGGTTTTAATTCAATGACAAAAAGCAAGTTGATTAATAGATTCAGCGATAATTCTAACATTCGTTCCTATCTCGTAAGATCATTAGCTCAACCAGATGTTCGTTCGAGATTACGCAACCTTAGTCACGTATCTATTTATGTTAATAAACCTTATAGACCTAGAAACGACTTGGTACTGTGGCTTTAACATGTACACATGCACACACTTAAACATAGATACAAAGACTAAGCCTACCTTAAATGTATAGAAGTAGTCTGATTGTTTTCGCAACTTGGTTGTGTTGTCAGGAGGAATAAGTTGGACGCACCTTGTCAGAAGTTCTCTGCTATATTAGTTATCGTAATTTCCACCGTGGACCTAGACAAATTATTATAAACCTACCAATTTCTATAATCTATTTTTAGTCTAATTAAGGTAAGGCAAGTGAGATCATATAGTTTACAGAATTTTTTTTGTAAGAATAAGATCCAGCTCTGATGATGTCTATCATATGCCTGAGGAAAACTCAAACTATTTTACCCCAAAGCAAAAGGTGTATTTGAATTGAATTCACCAATTTTAACATCAGGGTAAAGTCAAACGAAGGCAAAGCAACGGAAATCACCCGTAGAACTATGATTAGATCTACTAACAATGCTCTTCATCAGGCACGTTAGTAGGAAATGAAAGTCATTAAAATAACGAATAATATACTTATGAATTTTAAAACTATCAATAAGACGAAAGATTATTGATGTTACTTATATATTTGACAAATGCAACCATGCTGAACAAAAAGCTCACTAGATATTAGGTTTAATAACAAAGTAGTTATGGGGACAATATATTTCCTCAAGAATGTAACAAAACAGTAAAAACTGAAACTAAACCAAGAATAAAGCAAATAAAATGAATAATTTAAAGAAAGATAAAATTTACCGTTCTAAAGAAAGACCCCAAGCGATCACGTTTAAGCCATCTGGTAGGCCCATGGGACGAAGCATTTCTGGCCGGAACAGACCAGAATTGCCTATTTCTACCCATTTGACAAGGCCTAAAGAGAAAAACAAAGAAAGACGAGAAAAAATATAGGGAATTGGAGATATTATGTAATGAATTTAAGTATAAAAGTGTCCGTAAGGAAATATATATCAAATAAATAAAATAATTACGTCAAATATTTATTCAAAAAAAGCGAAAACACGATTTCGGTGCAAAAAAAGATGCTCAAGTCACGTGTTCAATTGGTTCCCAGAGATGCCAAGTTACGAAGCAATTCCACGCAATTCAGCAAACGAACGAGGTAAAACAACTTGAAAGTATTCATTTAAGCTTGTACGTTGGAGCCATTTAGATGAAAAATTATTCAAATAATAAAAACAATAGCGGAAACCTAAGTTGAGAACCACTATCAATACATTACTAGTTTGAAACTGGTATTTAACACAAATGAGTTCATGAGTTGTTGGCGCCAGGTTGGTCGCCACTTAAAGGAATACTATATTTGACAAGACATACCACATGTGACAGTGTTACGATGACTGAAAAAAGGTCCACCTATAATGAAAAAAAGGCATGATCGTGTATTGAATATTATCGCATCATGCATCATAAAATGCCATCCTCATTCACTTAAACCTTAACAGCACCTCAAGGATTTTTAACATGTAAGAGCATATTTTAAAGCAAGACGATCCCTTTAAATTTAATGAGGGTGGCTCGAGAGCTGATTTAGTAGAAACGTATTAGTAAATAAAGAAAAGATGAATCAGCCGTCATCTTCTATTGGGATCCCCCAAAACCTTAAGTGCATTTGAATATAAATGAACGTAAAACTTAACAAGATTACCTTTAATTACGTCTTTTAATAGGAAATCAGCAATGCTGCTTCCACCAAAAAGTCCACATCCCAGATGACTAACTCAGCTCGAAGATATTGCAGCGGACCATGCAAAAATTTAACTCAGTGATTCTCTCAAACAACCTCTATTTGTATCTTGCAGCTGGATGGTTAGCTGAGGATTTATTCGCACAATCTGGGAAGACCTATTTATGAATTCCTTCCAACCAATTTCTTATTCAAAATGATTAGTCAATTCGGAATAAACAACTAAGGTATAATTTGAAACCAGGTACATACAGTTTCCATTTTCCTAATCCATAATCATAGATAAATACCAAGAAATCGATGACTACAAATCGATCACGTTCGTTTTTTGAAACTCTGTTAGTCCTAAATTTTGTGTTATTTCCAAACCAGGTATAAACAGGACTATGGAAATTATATATATATAAATTCTATTTAACGAAAACTTTACGTTGAGTTCCTCAAAAAATTTAGATGAGGCTTGGAACACCAGTCTTCGAACAGCAAAACATAAAGCGACGAAAATATGTATATATATAGTCGTCACTTTATGTTTTGCTGTTCAAAGACTGGTGTTCCAGGCAGAATCTAAATTTTCTTAAGGAACTTATAACGTTAAAATTTCGTTAATTAGAATATATACCTCAATCAGCATGTACTTTCCCTGGCAATTATGTAAAAAAAGAGAAAGTACCTGGATGAAAAGCAAAGATCTCCATGCTCGGTTCTGTGTAAGGGTTGTAGGCTGGCTTAAAACGCAACTTGTGTAATCCAAGCCGAGCAAAGAAGGCGCGAATAACTGCCTTGAGGTGAGCCAGTCCTAGACCGTAGTCCGCGATTAGGCCCTCAACCTGGTGGAATTCGGCCAGATGAGTGGCGTCCAGGCTCTCATTGCGGAAGACTCGGTCTATGCTGAAGTATCGAACTGGCCGGACAGAAGGCTGATATAGTCAAGCATCATCGAGAGAAGTAGGAATAAAGATTGAGTGCTAGTTTGAGCCCGTACATGACGAATTGTTAAGAAAATTATTCATTTCCAATTATGGTTGAGTATGTTTGCGAGGGATCTTGAAATAGCATACTCTAAATACCCTGCTGTCCGTCATATAGCAACAGTCTTATTGTAAAGTTGTCGTCTAGAGGTAAAAGGAATTCAGGCTAGAATTCATTAAGATAT